CGTGCATAGGGGTGGTTGCGTCTCGATAGCTATAAGGGTGCGGGAGATATGAGGCTGAAAGTGGTTGAAAGTGGCTTTCTATTTCGAATGTTTTGTTCGATTTTTTCGAATTTGTTCGAATTAAATTCGAACATAAAATTCGAATTGGTTCGATTATAGAACGATTGAAAACGTTCCAGAAACGTTGAAATTTGTTCGTTTGACTAAACGTAAAAATTCTCTAATTAGTCTGGAAACGGGGGACCAAATTCTTGCATTTTGTGAAAACGGGTAACATTACTTATAATGTAATTATCTTAATCTTCACCATCGTTACTTTTTGCCCAGCGAAGCGGGTCCTTGCAGCTAGTATTAATAATAAATTAGAACAGAGATTAAAAAAGATCATTGAATTAAATAAAGATTTTCAAGCTTTTCCTAAAGAAAATGCTAATAAATTTAAAATATTAGAAGATCACATAACTGATAAAACTTATTTACAAAAAACATTAATGATTTAGATTTAAGCGTTAATAATTTTATAACAGAAACGAGTGAAAAACTTCACACATTAGATAGTAAATGTCTGAAATTACATAATGGTGCTTTCAATGCAAAAAACAGAAGAATTCATAATGTTGATGATCTAACGAAAGACGAAAATGTTGTAAATAGAAGATATTTAGAGAATAATTCAATTGTTATAAAGGTTTGATGCTAATAATAAGAAAATAATTGACGTTTCACAACCTATTTCAGAATTTGAAGTTGCTACAAAATTTTATGTAGATAATCGCACCTTTTGTCTTAGCTAAGTTGATACAAAAGACAACAATATACCTTCTAGAACTTAAAATTTATTATATGTACAGCACCTCCAACTCCTTTGTTGAAAAATAATTTCTACGATTCTGATAACAAAAGAATAACTAATGTAAAAAATCCAATTATAGACACGGATGCTGTTACAAAATCATATATTGAAAATTATTTCAAAACTGATGAAAATCCAAACAATATAATTAAAAACACAGAAAATAGTTTATTTGCTTCAAGTAACCATTCATTCATCTTAAGGAGTCTTATAGATTGGGTGTACATACGTTGCCTCTTGAAAGTTACCAGTTTTATTTAACCTTAGGCGATCTCTCTAATGATGAAAGTGATATAAAAAATTATGAAAAAAAAATACATGTTAGAATCTGATGGATTCATTAGTAAGATTTATTGAGCAAACAATATGCCATTATTAAATGTATCTATAGGTATATTTATAAATGATAAATTAGTATTTTCTGTTAAAATAAACATAGGAGAGACTTATATAGTCATAAATAAAACTATTCCATTCAATATAACAGATATTATTACAGTTAAAACTACAGATAATGAAGAGAATCTCAGGGATAATAATCTTAATGTAATGATGAGATATAGTATTTCAATATTTATAAATTATACTCTTTGAATTTTCTCCTATATAAATGGAGACTCTGAATAAACTAAACAATATTGGTAAAGTTCAAAATACTCCCAGAAGAAAATTAAACGAACTGCGAATTGATTACGAATATCGAGTTCGTAATGTTAAATCACACACGCTACAGTGATAAAAAAAATTAGTAGTTCTCATGGACACTGAATGAAATGAATTTTAAGTTTATCTGCCTGATCGATTCAACAAAAAAATAATGAATAAGCGTATAGAGGATTTATACAACACGAGTGATTTAAAATTTGTATACAGAGGTATGAAAGATTGTGAAATGCGAATAAAGCGCATATTGTTGAGTTTGTAAATTAATTAATCATTATTTTATAGGCTGTTGATTTTTTTATTTTTACTTAATTTTCTGATTTTTTTTAAATTTTTCTTGATTTTGAATAATTTTTAACGATATTTGAAATTTTCTGATTGTAAATCATTTACATTAGTGAGTCAGAATCGGTATTTATAGGCTATACTACTCACTTATGCGATAATTTCAAGTCATGAGCTACATAAAACGTTCGTAAACTGTTTGAGTGGTAGTAATATAAATGATAAAATTTCTCAGTACATAAAATAATAACTTTAACATAACTGATAAAATTAACTTCTTAATTATTCTTTGAATAATATTTTAGATTAAACGAAAAAATAAACACGCATCGAATACAGAGTATATCGCGTGTTTGATAAGCAAAATAATTTTAATTAAATCTTCTTAATTTATCTTAAGAATCGATAAATTTCTATCAATATATACTGTATGTTTCGAAATTTCATGCAAACGGAAAAATTTTCGGTTTTCTCTTTTAAAAACAAATTTAAATGGAACAATAATATAAGATTTGTATATACACCTGATATACAAATGACGGTTTGAAAAGATTAGGGGTTTTGTTTTAAAAGATCACTTTGAGAAAACAACATATTAGGTATTTGTATTACAAAATTTTAATTATAATTGAAAAAATAATAATACATACCGGAAAAATATACGAGAAAACACACCTACTGTATCGAATGGGTTACTTTTCTCTTTTCTCTCCATTCTCTATTAATTTCTCACATCTACAATTTTCTGTACACTGCATCTGTTGTATTACTCATCAAATCTGCAATTCTATCAGATAATATATAATATTTATTTTAAAGTGTAAAGGTTTAGCCTGTTATTTGTGTTCAGAAAACCTTGAAGTTTCTTCAGGATGTAAAAACAGTTAAATTATGTTTTAAGAAAGATATACATTTGTCATGATATAATCTAAACTTAAATTGATTAATTAATTTTTATAGAAAAAGTTAATGAATTCCTTAACTTTTCGGCAGAAAAACACTAAGATATATTTTAACATATTGTCGTTTTGACTTATATTTTAAATAAAATAAATCGTTTTTAAAATTTGGATAGAGATAATGACGATAAATTCCTTTCAAATAAATAATGCATTGTAATTGTCATTATCGAATGTACCCGAACATTTAGGGAATTCATTCAGATAATGTAAATGGTATTTTATTTGTACCGACACGTGACTTCCTTTAATTTCGAATCAACGTGATTGCTTGCTAGCTTTTCTTTTTTAGACTTGTATAGCACGAGAAAGTATTGAAATCGTGTCAAATTTGATCCACTTTGAGTACTTTGCAAATTTTTATGTTTTAAGAATTCGAACCAGAAATAAACTAACAACGAGTTGCTCAACATTCCCCGCAGCATTAAAAACTTTCGTGGCTCCAACTGTTATCATAATTTATTAAAATAAATGTTTTATATATTTTAACTATTATAAAATTGCAAAAGTTTAATTTTCAGAGTAGAGATAGGTTTTATAAAAAATTGTAAATGCTAATAAAGAGTACAATCTTCGTTAAGTCTGACCTTATTGGAGATATAAAACACGATCCTCACACATCCATACATACAAAAATTACCCATTTCTCATTTCTCGATGTTTCAAGAATTCTAGTCTAATAATGTAAAAATATTTGGGGGGGTTATTCGTTGACAGATCGTCATACCTTTTTCTGTTATATATTACAGCTGGGAATTAAAACTGAAAAACAAAGAAAATATTCCGTGAATAAGTGTATATACATTTACACACACGTACTGTACTGTACGTGTGTAGGTTTGTCTATTTCGTGTAATATTTCTCATATCTCGAGATGAAATAATGATAAAGAAACTAAATTTGGCAACTTAGCTTGTATATAAGGGAAATCGTTGCTCTTACATCTTAGTAGTTAAAAGTCGAAGGGGTGGAAAGATAAGGGATGTCGTGCCTTATGTCGAGTGGGTCACACTTACAAGTTAGTCAATATTTTCTCGTTTCTAGCATCTGTATTTTGTTTAATAAAAAACCTATTTCGATCCTTAAAATTAAGCTTGTTGCCATATTATCATAAACAATGGTATAACAGTTACTTATTTAATACTAACTTATATTATATAGTACAGCACAAAATTTTAAATTTATGTTAAAATATATCTTAGTGTTTTTCTGCCGAAAAGTTAAGTAATTCATTACAGAACTTTTACTATAAAAAGTAACTAATTTTTATTTATTTATCAATCTTTAGTTAATTCTTTCTTTGCATATATATGTCCTGTTTTAATATACATATAAAAAATTTAAGTTTAAATTATATCATGACAAATTTATATCTTTCTTAAAACATAATTTAACTGTTTTTACATCTTGACGAAACTTCAAGGTTTTCTGAACACAAATAACACGCTAAACCTTTACACTTTAAAATAAATGTTATATGTTATCTGATAGAATTGCAGATTTGATGAGTAATTCAACAGATGTAGTGTACAGAAAATTGTAGACAGCAGAAATTAGTAGAAAATGGAGAGGAAAGAGAAAAGTAACCCATTCGATACAGTTAGTGTTTTCTCTCGTATATTTTTCTGGTATGTATTATTATTATTTTTTCGATAATAATTAAAATTCTGTAATACAAATAATTAGTATGTTGTTTTCTTAAAGTAATCTTTTAAAACAAAACCTCTCATATTTTCATTCCGTTATTTCATGTTATAATACAGGTGTATAGGCCTATACAAATCTTACATTATTGTTCCATTTAAATTTCCGTTTTTAAAAGAGAGAACCGCAAATTTTTTCGTATGCATGAAATTCCGAAACATACAGTATATATTGAAAGGAATTTATCGATTCTTGAGATAAATGAAAAAGATTTAATTAAAATTATTTTGTTTATGAAACACGCGATGTACTTTGTATTCGATGTGTGTTTATTTTTTCGTTTAATCTAAAATGTTACTCAAACTATAATTAATATGAATTTAGTTCGCAGTTCGTTAAGATGTTTTTTCTTTTTCTGTAGTGAGCTTGTTCTGTTCTCGACTTTTTTATTCTTCACGATGAATATGTTTTTTTTTGTATAATGGGACGTTTGAATTGTAGTTTAACACTTTTCTAATCTCACATGGTTTTGCGTATGGCTCGAATTCAATCTTTTTTGCCATTCTGGTTATTTTAATATCGAGGTAATTTATTTCTGTGTTTGACTCATTTCCTACCTTAAATTTAATATTATCATTTAATTTGTTTATTTTTTATTTTAATTTTATTATTTCTTGATCATATAGTATAATTATGTCATCCACATATCGTTTATAGAACTTTATGCCTGTAATTTGTTTAATTGCTTGATCTATATTTACCATAAGAAGTTCTGCTAGCTTCGGTCCTATGACTGATTGCATGCTTATAACTGTTTGTTGTGTGTAGAACTTACTGTCGACTTCGAAATAATTACTCTTGTATACGCATTCTATTAAATCAATTTCTTCTTTTTTTGTTTCAATTTTTTTTAGTGTACAGTACTTTCCATTAGATTCCAGGTTATCGAAGGTACATGTTTACTATATCTAGGCTTGGAAGTCTGTAATTTTTGTTTATTTTTATATTTTCTATGTCATGTAAAAGTTTGTCTGCGTGTTTGATGGAGTATTTCGAATTTTATACTTTTGTAATTTTCGTTTTAATTGTTTTCTAAATTATATAGGACTGAATTTTTGAAGTCGACGATGGGTTATATTTGTTTGCCTGGTTTATGTGTTTTTAGCTGTAGGTTTAGCTTAGGGATCCCGCTATTTTCGTTTGCTAAATTATACTGTTTATTTTCTTTTTTTATTTTGTTTAATTTAGCTGTTTATTAATTCGTTTTTTAAATTCAGCGTAAATGACTTCTTTTGGGTCTATTGGTAGTTCTCTAAAAGACCCGTTATTAACTATTTTTGATTTTTTGGTTTCCATCCACTCTTGTTTCACTGTGATAATCTGTTTTGATTTATCTGCTGTTATGATATCCATGTCATTTACTGCAAAGTAGGTATGTAATTTTTCTATTTTATCTTTATATTTAACGTACGATTTTTCAGTATTTTCTTTTTTCTATTTTCGATTTTTACATAATTTTTTAGTTTGTTACTATTTTCTATTTTTATATCGTTGTAGTCCCCTGGAAGAGTTACTACGTACAGTATAGAGTGGATTTGCAAGTAGACGTAACATATCCAATGAGAAAACGCTGACAGATTTTTATATAAACAACGCTTTTACAACTACGCTTCGACCTATTTATGTTAATCAGTTGTTATAAATGCATTATAACTGATTTATTTAATATATATTTAATTTAATGATCAGTTAATTTAAATAATAATTCTTACGATTGTAACAAATGGTTTAAAAATGTACAAATATACAATTTAAGAAATTCATACAAAGAAAAGAAAGTTTCGAAGTATTCTAACATTACTTCATAGTCGTTGAAACACAATTTTGTGCAATGAAAATTTCCATGTAATCCGACGTAACGGATCTTTTAAACAATTGACATAAACACAAGCAGGGAAGAGCCCATAAAACGAGGTCAACTTCGATACGGTTGATGGAGGTCTGGAAGTGCAAGTGTTTTATTTTATTTATTTTTTGTATGAGTCTTGAATGTTGTATAATTTGTACTTTATTTAAGTATATATTTTTTATTACATTTTTATTTTAAATACAGCCAATGGCATTCTTTCTGAACTGCAGTTTAATAATAGTCAGACATCGACAAAAGAAAACTCTTTAAAATGCATCTGTTTATTAACTAATTAAACATTTTCGGCCATTTGAATGACCTTCCTCAGGAATACAAAAAGAATTTTATTTTTGAGGAAGACGTTCGATTAGTTAATAAAAAACTGCATTTAAAAAGATTTTTTTCGATGTTAGATTATAGCTAATTTCTTTTAACGTGTGGATATAGTAAATGACGACAATTTCGTTTCAAATAAATTACGCATTGGGAATGTTTTTAACCAATGTACCAGAACATTTATTGACATCACTCGAATGATGAAAACGTCATTTTATCTGCACTGACCGTGACTAACTTTAAATTTCAAATCGAATTAATTGCTTCCTAGCTTTTACTTTCTTCGGTTTGTTATGTATAATACGTGAGAAAGTATTGGAATCGTGTCGAATTCGACCCTCCTAGTTTCTTTTGGGTAAATCATAATGTTTTGAAATTCCAAATATTTACCTGGCTTTGATTTTTTTAGGTCCGGGGTCTCAAAGAAGCGATTTGTAGTATATACATACGGTATGTAAAGTGCGTGTCTGTGTTTGGATCTGTTTCGTTTGACACCTGGGGATGAGGTAATGATTAGAATACGAAATTTAACATGGTAGCTGGTATATAAAGGACATCGTTACTTTTAAATCTCCATTGTTAAAAGTCAATGGGGTGGGAAGACAGAAAAAAGTCCTGTCGTATGTCGAGTGGAGTCAAATTTAATCAGGAACTTTTTTTGTTCGTTAGCATTTACGTTTTGTTTTATAAAAACCTATTTCAACATTCAAAATTCAGCTTATTTTTTATTTTATAATTACATATTAACAGTTATTTTTTTACGAAATTTGATAACGCTGAAAAAATTATAACTTCGTATTCATATAACGTCTAGACGAAATTTTCAGGTTTTCTGAACACAAATAACACACAAAACCTTTACACTTTAATAATTATAACTTCGTATTCATATAACGTCTAGACGAAATTTTAAGGTTTTCTGAACACAAATAACACACAAAACCTTTACACTTTAATATAAATATTATATATGTTATCGAATAGATATACAGGTTTGATGAGTAATAAATACTACATATGAAAAGTGTATAGAAGAGTATAGATACGAATGGAGAGGGGAAAAAAGTAACCCATTCGATACTGTTGGTATTTTCTCTCGTATGTTTTTCTGGTATGTAATATTATTTTCTCTCATTAATAATTGAAAGTTTGTAATATAAATAACTATTAAGTTATTTACTCAGGAGTAATCTTTTAAAACCAAACCCCCTCATATTTTCATTCCGTTATTTCGTGTTACAATCCAGATGTATATACAAATTTTATATTATTGTTTTATTTAATTTTCCGATTTTCACCAGATGGAAGCTAAAACCACAAACCTTTACGTGTGCGCGAGATTGTAAAACATACAGTATATTCTGATAGAGATTTATAGATTCTTGAGATAAATAAAAAAGACTTAATTAAAATTATTTTCTTTATCAATATGTGTTTTATGGGTGTTTAATTATTTATTTAACTTAATATGCAAAATATAATTAGAAATTTAATTTTATTAGTTATTTAAAGTTAATTTTTACAAGTAAGCAGTAAAATAATTTATTGTTTATATTAATACAACTCAAACAGTTCGCAAACGTTGTTATGTTACTAATAAGATAAAGTTATCGCATAAATATAGAATTAAATTAGTAGTAGAGGAGAAGGTGGTATTATGGAACCCCAATTACATTTTAGTGAATTGTAAACAAGGTATCATAACTACACCCACATTTATGGAATTATGGTATTTATGGTATTATGGAACCCCAATTACATTTTAGTGAATTGTAAACAAGGTATCATAACTACACCCACATTTTTTGTGCGAAAATACTGGTAACGATTAAACTAAATGTTCCTAATTGGATTTTTCGCTAGTGTAACTATAACTATGGTTTTTGAAGGCTTTTGTACAAAAAGTCAGAAAGTAGGCTTAGAGAAAATCGGGTGGTAATATGGAACCTTACTGTATATTTTCAAAAAATGCTTTAATGTAGCCAAAAACAAATAAGAAAGTACAAAAAATGTTAAATAATTACAAAATTATTTACTCCAATGTATTTTATCGCAAAAATGCTTTTATAATAGAAAAATATGACCTCCGTCAAAAATATATATTCCAGCAGCTCTTTTTCGATATTCTCGGAAAGAATTGGCTTTCTACCTAGTGTCTTTTTCACAAATTGCTCCAGACGAATGTCTGCTTGCAAAGAGAAAGTTCGGAGAAGTTGAGTTCCATATTAAAAGCACCAATGGGGTCCATATTTCACGCATCGCCATCTTGAATTAACTTTTGTCTGTCAAGACCAAAATTTAAAAGAAAACGTGAATATCACACAAATTAATATGTATCCCTAAGTCTCTGGAACGGAATACATGCACCGGTGAACCTACAACTACACGATTTATATTTTAAAAATAATTAAATTCACTTAGCATTCAAAACTTCCGAATTTTGAAAAACACAAATTTGCTGATTAAATACGAACAACCGTTTAACTGGAAAAAAACGGGTTTTCCCCTTGCTATGCATGTCTGCAAAGTTCAGTTCAGCTACAATCCGCTACAGTTCGTCTTTATTATCAGTTCGAAATGAAGTAGTTCCATAATACCACCTTTTCCTCTATAGTTGTTGAAAATATACTTACACCCTTGTATTATTAAAAATACGAACAATTACTCAACAGATGAAGGAAATAAAATATTCTTTATATTTAATTCTAAAGTTTTTCTGTGATGTACTCTACGTGTTGGATCTTTCCTTATAAAAATGCGTTAGTTGAAAGTACACGTTGCATAATTTAAATATCGTCTAAAGCATGCTGCAATTAGTATGGAAGATGTTTTATTATGAGAATATTTATATGCTAGATATATTTATTTGTCATAAACCTCCGATTACTTTTATTTTGCAAAGTCTCCTCTCGCTCTTAATTTGTACATATATATATATTCCTGCGCAACTGGTAAAGCTGAAACTGTACAGCACATATTATATGAATGCCATATTTACGAAATCGAACGCTTCAGGCTAATGCTGGAAGTCCTGTCTTTGGGGTATGGTTGGCCTTGTCCAGCCCATATCCTAGTGTCCAAAGAACTGTGTGCCTACTTTAATTTCTTCATTAAGGACATTTTTAAGAAAAAGCGGTTATGTGTCTAACCGAATTCCATTATTAGCTAACTATGGTTGATACTGTATGCGCGTTGTCACTTATTGTATATCTTTTGTCATTCCAGTTTTGTATTTATTGTTCTAGTGTAATACTCACTCCAGAGTGGTGCACTCACAAAAAAAAAAAAAAAAAAAAAAAAAAAAAAAAAAAAAAAAAAAAAAAAAAAAAAAAAAAAAAAAAAAAAAAAAAAAAAAAAAAAAAAAAAAAAAAAAAAAAAAAAAAAAAAAAAAAAAAAAAAAAAAAAAAAAAAAAAAAAAAAAAAAAAAAAAAAAAAAAAAAAAAAAAAAAAAAAAAAAAAAAAAAAAAAAAAAAAAAAAAAAAAAAAAAAAAAAAAAAAAAAAAAAAAAAAAAAAAAAAAAAAAAAAAAAAAAAAAAAAAAAAAAAAAAAAAAAAAAAAAAAAAAAAAAAAAAAAAAAAAAAAAAAAAAAAAAAAAAAAAAAAAAAAAAAAAAAAAAAAAAAAAAAAAAAAAAAAAAAAAAAAAAAAAAAAAAAAAAAAAAAAAAAAAAAAAAAAAAAAAAAAAAAAAAAAAAAAAAAAAAAAAAAAAAAAAAAAAAAAAAAAAAAAAAAAAAAAAAAAAAAAAAAAAAAAAAAAAAAAAAAAAAAAAAAAAAAAAAAAAAAAAAAAAAAAAAAAAAAAAAAAAAAAAAAAAAAAAAAAAAAAAAAAANTCGTTCTCAGCGGTAGGTGTTATATAACAATTACTATGGTTGTTGAAATACTGAATATAAATAGGGTTTGCTTGTAAAATCCCCGCTGGCGAAGTTGCGGGTAACAGCTAGTGAAGAATAACTCAAATGTTCACATTGTGTTATACATTCATTCAAACAACAAAGCCTGCAAATGAATTGTACAATTTCGTTTCGAAAAGTTTCGTAAAGTTTTTTATTTTCTTTCTAAACCGACCTGCTATAAAAAATGTAAGTAATTATTTATAAATAATTTCTGATATAATTTTTTCGATAGTTTATTTATCTATGAGATATTTGATCCCTAGATACCACTTATAATCTATTGCATGTGGATTGGGTGATTGAAATGCACAGACTTTAAAAACAGTCACAGTTATTAATGTTGAAAATTACTTGACCTGATTGTAAAGTATTTTTTTCAGCTTTAGGGTTTGAAGTTTGGAAGTTAAATGCCTGGTATCTTTTCTCACATTTTGGTAGAATCTTGTCATTGCAATTAGATTTTTGCATGATTTAATATTGTGTTTTATAATAATTAAAACCGAAAAATATAATTTAAAAGTACAATTTTTGCGTTCTTTTTACAATTAATGAAAGATTGTGTTAACTTCTTCAAAGATAATTCAGTCGCATATAAATGTTTAATTCTTCCAATATCGCATGAGCTGTTAGTCTTTAAATTTGAATACAAAAATTCCTTAATTTAAATTTCTAAACTGTGAATCACTGTCAAATTTTGATGCTCGTAACTTGTTTTAAATAAAGTAATTTATTTTTGAGTTAGTATTTTAAAAATATACTTGATGATCTTAGCAGTATTTTCACTTTCCCGGCTATTATATATGACAGAAAAAAAGTATGACCATCAGTCATAAAATAAGCTTCCAAGATTACTCGGTTTTTCTTTTACTTGTGATCTTGAAACGGCCAGAAATACAAAAAATTCGTTTTTTATGTATGCACGGCGTTTATGTTTGCGTATGTATAAGTATGTGTGTAGAAAGCACGATTTTTTCACCCTTTTTAAAGCTTAATAACGGCCGTGTCTTCTGTCAAAATTTTCTAGTATTTTGTAGGATAGTTCACGTACAAGGGCTATAAAATTTTAGTGGTGAAAACTTCAATGGGTGAAGAGATAAAGGTGTCATGTCATATCTCGTTTAGGGTCTGACTTGATGACGATTTTACTCATTATTAGCATTTACAATTTTTTTTTTTTTTTAAACCCGTCCCTATTCTCTGAATTAAGCTCTCTGCCGTTTAAGAATAGTTTAAAAATATAAAAAGATATTTTAATAAAATATTATAATAGATGGTGTCACCAAATCTTCCCGGAAAAGTTAAGCAACTCGTTGCTGAATTCTTTAGAATATTTATTATTGAACGTAAATGCATTTGTTTTTTCAGAAACACTGAAAAAATGTCATTGAACAATTATGCTAATTTTAATTAAAAAAAAAATAGCAAAATTTAAAATGTCATTGTTTGGGAAAATAATTAGCAAAGTAAACAATTTGATCGTTATTATTGTAATGAATTACGATAAACTATATGTGTTGATAAACATCGTTCATTGCGTTGTACGGCAAGTTGAGTACCATCGTAAAAATTTCAAAATTATTAAGACCAGAAAATTATGGTAAACAACATTAATAATTAAATTATTTTTTCAGTTGGGTTTTCCCAATAATAAACGAGGGAAGAAAACTAGTTTTAAAGGAAGAAGATTTATACAAATGTTCAAAATATCATACTTCGGAGTATCTTGGCGATCTGCTACAGAAGTAAGTTAGTTATTATTTAGATGTGGACATCGATATTTTAGTTACTGCTACTTGATTATTTTAGATTTAATTATTATTTGGTTAAGTCTAATCAAATTAAATAGAACAAGCGAAGGTTGTTATATATATATATATATTAGTCATTATTAGTTGTGTACTAAATATATGTAACATAGCACTTAACAATATAAAAAATTTATTGCAAAATTAAAATTTATAATATTTATTTGATTTACAGTAAAAATTTTACTGGACTCAAAACTGCAGAATTATTTACATTTTCTAGATTCCATTCAAAATGTTTACTTGAAATTATTTTATAGAAGTAATCTACAAAACATATTATTTTTTTTTCATACGTAGAAGGTGAATGATTAATTACATTCATTGTATTTAGTGCTCTGAAATACATAAACTAGGTGAATTAGTCGATCTGTCCGGTAAAGTACTTTATAAGTTATAACGCTGCTACAATGTTAAACGCGTAAGAAGATTTTAAATAAAAATTTTTGAAAAGATATGAAAAAAAATCCTTAAGATTTTAACTTTCCAATGTCAAGAATGTGTTCTGTGAAGTTTTGAGTTGAACATAGCACCCAAAGTGTCTGAATGAAAAAATGCTGACGATTTACAGGTGCCACGTGGTTACACTCGTAACTAAATTTGAAATCTTGGCTTTTGTTCCCAGCAAAAAAATTTCATTTCTGCATACATTCATGTGTCGATACATAAAGCAGCTGTGTTAAAAACACTGGAATGAATTAAACTAAAAACTGATGTAAAAATGCGTTGCACATTAATTCATAGTAATGATTATAAAAACATTGCAGTAAACATCTCAATTACTTTTGTACATTTAAGTGAAATATGTTTTTTGTGTGAGAAATGTGAATAATTTTCAATTTTAATACAGAATTACAGTTATTTTATGGTGAGAATGAATGAATTATATATAAGTAAAAACCGGTAGAAGACATAAACATTTAAATCGTATATAAAATTAGTAGCAAAATCAATTAGCCTGGGACAAAACTGGCCTGGTTTGGAGCAATTTAAATCGATTCATTTTGACATTTTCTCGTTACTTTCCCTGTTGTGAGATATAGCGGAGATACAAGATAGCGATGGCTCAAAAAGGTGAACCACCCCAAGATTATTATTTTTTAACACAGGACACTTTGAAACGTCGAGAAAAAAAATCGGAGGTAATTTCAGTATGTCTAGATGTTAGTGTTTGTGTGTGACACTATTTTGTTCATCCTGTTTGAAGCTTAATAACTCCTTCGCTTTCTGTTGAAAATTTATGAACTTTCGCAGGGAGGTTTATTTATTAGGAAAATTTATGCAATTAAATTTTGATGATTAAAAGTTGGGGGAATAAGAAAATAAAGGAGGCAATGTTATATCTGCAGTAGAGTGGAACTGAGTCTAATAACGATTTTACTCGTTATTAACATTTAATTATTTATAAAACCCGTCTTTACCCTCCAAATTAATCTCTTTGCATTTTTATAATAATTAAATAATATAAAAAGTTTTTAAATTAAAATATCGTAACGGACGACGCCATCAAATGTTGCCGAAAAAGTTAAGCAACTAGTTTATAAATTTTTCGCCGAGTGTATCAATGGCTGTGACGGGTACTTTTTGAATCTATCCAATTAATATTAACTTTAACACTTTATCATCTTTTAAGAGCAATTTAAACAAGTTACGTGAAGTCTTTCGGGCGTTACGGTAAATAACTTGGAACAAGAGCGGATCATCTCAACCTGTCTAACAAGCACTACTTTTCAAATAATAATTGTAAAACTATGATAATTAGTTGTCGTTGACTATCCTCTCTCCTGGGAAGAGGTCAACGACTACATTAGGTCAAATTAACTTTAACTTCCTTTTGAAGCAGCCCATTTCTTCTATGCAACAGTGGTACTGTTCCATTCGAATAGAAAAATTACAAAAGAAAAAGGTACCGACAAGCACAAATTAAGTTTTATCAGGATTTCGATGGGCCAAGTTTAAATATTTGGTCATTTTTTTAGCGAACTATGATTGACTTGGAGATTACCATTTGATATTCGGGTGTGAATGGTATAGTACGTTGAAGTTGATACATTAGAAAAAAATTAACATAACATATTGTAATTTTATTTGTTAAGTATCTTAAATATGTCATTAGTAGAATAAATAACTGAACTGATTATGTTATTTTCGTTTTAATCTTCGTTGTCTTTATTTTTTACCCTGGCAAAGACGTCTTAGCCTCAAGTAAATTGATAAATGTGCACACGCACACATTAATCAACACATTTTGTCTTCTGAACTACTTATGCAACAAACAAAATTATAACAAATTTAGCAAAATTTGTATTATTGCAATTTGCAGATAAGCAAACTACAGTCGACCTCTCTAAAACACGAGTTCCTATAGTTCGGGTTCCTATATCACGGCGAAAAAATTGCGACAGTATTCGTACAAACATGCAAAAAAACCTCCTATAATTCGATAAAACGTCATCGCCGACTCGTGTCGCGACAGGATTACACAAACCTTTGAGTTTAAACGAGCAACGGACCTACCAAAACACATTATTTAACGTCCATAAAAATGATATTTATATTAATGATATCTCTAAACATCAGCGAATTTTTCGCAAAAAAAAATAATTTATCAGGAAGCACGCGAGCGCCATTCGATGACAATCTCCACGACGAAAACAAGCTTAAGCAATGGCGTAGTCGAACGGTGCACGCTCCATAAGTAATCCTACAATTTTTTGTTTATAGTATAGTTTATATGGATTATTACCAAAAAATTATACGTATTTTGGAAATGTTGAGTCGAATTAGTCTAGAATCGATTAATTTTATGGAAGAAACCTTTCAAACAGCCGTAGTCCGTAAACTGCATACGTGCCGGGCTGTGGTTGGCTGGATTCATTAAAACATGAACGTATCTACCGTGTTATACGGGGGGTCGACTGTAATCATAAAATCTTTCCTCAAATTCAATAGTAAGTATTTAGAACGAATTTTTTATATCAATTAAAATGCTGTGAAATTTACATTTACTTTACATATTAAAAAATATGAATTAGAGGACTGTTAATTATAAATTTAAACGTTTTTAAGTCTAGTACACGTTTGTTAGTCTGTTGCGAATTACACAGGGAAGTATAGGTTTAGAAAACGCGGAAATTTTGTAAACTTTAGTAAATAATACAAAATTTAATAAGTTAATCGCCATCTGTTTTTTGCGGACATTACTGTGCATTTTGTTTCAACACATGCTGCTGCAAATTAATGATCTGTTTATGCATGATATTTACTCACGTATCAGTCTTAGAATGTTACATAGTTAAAATGTTACATAGAAATGTTACATAGTTATACTGTATCAATATTTTATTCCCCTTCTGTATTGCAGTAATGCATATAAATTCTCTTTCCATTTCTGTTTAGAATGTGGCTCCGGATTTTTAGCGCAGCACTGTCTAAATACATTCCGATTAGCAGAATATTAGCATTCCATTTAGAATTAGATATTCACGTAATAATAGTTAGATATAATAATAATAGTTGTTTTAAAAGCATTACATTGATTCATAGTTGTGCAAAAGTTCTAGAATAACCTGTTGATTGAAATATTTTATTCAATTTTTAGGTTTCATTGCAATTTCTTTTCAGAGAATGGAACCAGGAATTGCAGAAGAAGAATTCGAGCATACTGAAAGCTTTATTACGTTTCGTTGGTTGGAAATACTTAGTAGTTATTCTACTTGTACTCATTCAGGTATTACGACAACCGAATTGAAAGACATAAAGAATGTTCTAAAATTATTGAAATAACTGATATTTATGTTCGTCCGCAGATGACAGCGTTAGTTGCAGGCCAAGCATACTTCGTAGGATTAATAATAAATTATTTTGAGAACAGAGAGGAAATGAATCAATACAAGATCTATGCTACACTTGCGGGATTTTTTATTCTACTTGCGATATATTTATGTATATATAATATTAGTGCATTTATAACTGAATTATATGGAATGAAGTTAAAGATAGCTTTCTGCACTCTTATATATAGAAAGGTGAGTAGCAATTAGATTTATATTCTTTTTACGTTAGTGTATTTTTATTAAATGTATCGAAGGAATTAAAGACAAATTCAAACTATTTGTAAAAAAATTTTTCAGCAATCGATATTTGTGTAATTTTATTTTTTATAAAGTAATTTGAACTATATTGTAAAGAAATGAAAATGCAGTTTATATACATCATATACAATTATTTATTTTGTCAAGAAAAACGTTTAGTAATCAGTAAGGTTTTCGGTTTTTTCTACAAACCGTCCTCAAACGTTATATTACATTCTCTCGTTAGAATATCAAATTGTAATGTAATTTTGAATATAATAAATTTAATTTAACTAGGAATAAAAATACACCGAACAATTTTTAGAAAGGCAAACGTTACAGAAAATCAAATCAAAATAATAACAAAAGTAAAACATTAAATATAATTATAAAAAATGTTTTAATATATAAGTAAAGCAAGATTGAAAATGTGATATTGCTTTGTTTCAACGAAGAGCAGTCTATAAATTGGTATGCTTTAGTTTTCTCTTCACCTTATATTTGTATATACAGATATTTCTATTCTGTACATGGTGGAGGAAAAAATGAGAGATTACAATCAGCATAGAAACTGATGGTAATCTTTCAGGGTCTTTATCGTTCAGACATCCGTCTATCATCTTTTTTCTGTATTTTCTATCTTTTCTGTACTCATCGCTAAGGATAGTGAATGCTCCGGTTTTATGATGTCGGCCTCCTCCCATTTTGCAGTTGAGCGTTCCACTTGCGCCATGGATGACAATACCGTGCAACACTATTCTTTCTTGTGTTTATGTTGTTTAAGGTATACTTCGAGATTTTCTTTGAAACTCGGGTGTATTATTTTTTAACTCCCGACTGTTAGTTTTCGTAGGAAATTCTATAAACGCTTGTGCTTTTTTATTAGTTTTTTCTTTGTAATTTCTAAGGATGCTGTAAATTGTGGATGCTCTTCTCAATACCAGATCTGTTTCTTTACGATCTTCAATTTTATTCATTATGCTTTTTAGGTTTTTATGAAATGGGAACTTAGATATTTCATTTCTTTTTCTTTTGTTCGTACAGCAATATCTCTTTTTATTGGTAAGCAATACGTCGCAAAAACGTTATCGACAACTAAAATGCAAGGAAGTCGTGAATTTTATTTCAATGGAATGTAAACGAGTCCATAGTATTGCACTTTCTGTATTTGAATTTTTAGTAGTCGTTATTACTGTCAATGTCTAAAATATGATAATGATGAAGTTTTCGTGTTAGTGATGAAAAATTGTTTCGATTACTGGCATTAGTATGCAAGGTTTTTATTGTGTGAATTATGGATTAGATTTGTCCGGATGCACTGACTAGGTGTGGCCACAATAATTCTGTATTAATTTAACAAATTACTTTTTGTCCATATATTACTATACTTGTATACGTGAGCGCCAACGTTTGGCTGTATAGAAGATTTATTCGGCACAGCAGGAAAAGTTGTAGCGGTAATAAAAATAATTTCTGTAATAAAAGTAAGCAAAACTTCTAACAGAAGTAAAAACATTAAAAATCTTGCAATTTGTCTTAACCAAATTCTGCCTTCTATGCAAAAGCCTGTAATGAAATTATCTTACGCTTATCGAATGATTTAACAGTTTTGAATAAGCCTATAGAATAGAATTGTAGTATTTAATTACTTCTCAAACGTAAAGACAGATTTGGTTTTAGAAAGAAAGCAAATTAAATACAAAATTAGTTGCGTTTTTCGAAATTTGTTTTAATATATCATTTTGAGGAATTGTTTGTATTATCTTAATATAGCATTGATTCATAGATTTACAATCTGTATAAATGTTAATACAGTCTGTTTTTCTATATCTGTATATATCAATAGGAGGCCTTGATGATGATTTATAACTTAGATAAGTCAATATTATTATTAGAAAATTTAATCAATTAGTTTGTTTGAGAACTATGTTAAGTATTATAGGTATTTTTTTATTTAATGATGACATAATTTTCTGAAAATATTCATTCTATATAAAACTTTCATTTGCAGGCAATTAGGTTAAGTCTTTCGTCTATGGAAAGATCGAATGTGGGACAAATGGTAAATCTTTTAGCAAACGACGTCGGCAAATTCCAAAATGTAAGTTAAAATAAATTTGTAAACAACGTGTTCGATTAATGTATACCACGTGAACCCATATATTTCGACGGTGTATTATATAATCTCGACAAAAACATTTCGGGCAATAAGTCATTTTAAAAGTCGATTTAGGCCTAATATATCTTCAGTAATATCGATGATATAAAACTTTTATACTTATGATTATTTTACATCGCTAAAGTCTAATTATAGGTAAGTGTTTTTACAATTGACTTATACAATAGTTTTCGTACGATCGTTCATTATGTCAACAAGAGCCTGGCCCTAATTTCGATTGATTTCACAGCAAAGTTACTTGACTTTTTGATTAAACCATGCACATTTTTTTCAAGACTTTCCTTAACACGTTTTTAATTCTACACCACATATTCTATATAGGGAAAAGTCAGAACTGATAGACGGGCATTTTAATGTTTTCATATTACGTTGGGCCAGCCAAGTGTCGACAGTTTTAGAAGTGTGGCAACTGCACTATTCTGCTGGAGAATAATAGTCTGCGATATAAGTAGTATATATATGAGAGACTCTGGGATAATTTGGTTAACTTCGCAAGGGTTTACAACTTTTATCTCAGAAACTCTCATCATTTTAAGGGAAAGACGTCGAGCAGGGGCTAAATTCGAGCAAAATCGCAGAATCTCTCGACCGATTCAGAGTTAATTACTATTCAAGAAACTCTCATAGGAGTCGAAACCACACCCATTTTCGATGCCCCTTCGGTTATACTTCTCCGCGCGATTTGAACGAGCGTTTCTGGAATAAATCGTTATGTTTTAAGATATATTGCAAAAGAAAACGGACTTAGATTCTAAAATATTTTAATATGCGATAACGATATATTTTGTAGTTTTTGTTTAGATAAGAGAACTGATTTTTTTTAATATACAAGCGATCGACATTTTAAATGCGAGTGGCGTCATCTGGTAAGAAATATATTTATATATTTTTCGAAATTAGATGTTAAAAAGAAATAACAAATAACATGTACCGTCGCTAATCGGATCATGCTATTTGCTATTTCGCTATATATCGATTTTTTAACGGTATTTATTGCATCGCGACAGTGATTAAATAAACGACACGAAGACTTTCTCTCTTTTTCTCTCTTTTATTGGAATAAAGAATAGGGGTTACAATGATATATATTAATTTGAAGATTATACAAAAACATAAGCATATAAAATTTTATTAATTATATTTAAAAAATAACGTTTATGTTAAAATTATTTTTTAGAAAAAAATTATAACTTTTCGCATATTTTCGATAAAACATAAACCAGAGTAAAATGATAATTATTCGATACAAATTTGTTTCTGATTCTGATTCTGATTTCTGTTTCTGATTTAGCAATGACGATACACCAATTAAGTTTATGCTTGTAATCTTCCATAAATTTTTCGGATAATTCTTGATGATTCGAAATAAGGTCCCAATCCACAACGTTTTCAAGTTCTCTAATAATTTCTTCATGCAATTGTTGATATTGACAAATAAGCTTCATATTCAGGAAATGTTTAAAAGTTAATATGAAATTTTCATTCAGTCTTTGATATTGAGATACGAGATCCCAGTTTAAACGATCGTGATATTGGATCAAAAAGGATTCTGATAGCTGTTGATAACGACAAACATCGTCCAAATAAACTCGTTGTACATATCTTTGTATAAAATCGGAGGAGAAGCGTTTGCTTTTCCAAATTTTATTCCAATTTAATTTATGTTGGAAATCTCTAATAAATTCGTCACTAAGATTAGTTTTTTCAGAAATAATGTCTCAATCGACCTTATCTGCAAGTTGTCTTATTACTTCTTCGCTCAAATTTAATCTAGAAAAATCTTTCCAATCAAAATTCGGCCCTACTTCGCGAACTAACATCTCTGCGTTGTTTCCGTTCATTATGATATGAAAATAGTCCTTCTTCTTCTTTCGATAGTAATACGAATAATGATTAGTTTTATTGTTTGTCTCGCTTTTATATAATTTTTTTATGACGCAATCGCTTGGTTTTGGTTTTGTTTTAGGTCAGCGAACTTTAAAAATGACGTAATCGCTTTTATGACGCAATCGCGTTTTTCCCCAATAAACCGGTTTTAGTTAAATGAACCTAAAAATATTATTAAATAAAACAAGACACGAAATTTAAAAAAATATATATTTATTGGTTTTCACTTTTATACTCGAAATACATTTTCGGAATATTATTTTCGGGTCCACAATGAGGATTATGTTTTTCCGAATCGATGAAACATTCTTCAAAATTGTTAAAGGTTTTGCTAGATTCCGATAGAATTTCTAAGCTTTGATGATGATAAGATTCCTTCGATGTAAGCAGCCATCGGAAATGTTTCACCTTGGGTATAAATCGTGGTAGGTAATCCACGCAATATAGAATTTTAATGGATGGTGGAAAGTTTTGCGATTTAGCCGAGTGTTCGGCCAATTCGATGCTTGAGAAGCTACCATTAGAGAAAGCGTAGGGAACTAATAATTTTTCGTTGATTGGAAAAAATGCTCTCCAACCGAACGACGACACGCATGTNACGTATCTACCGTCTTATAGGGGGATCTACTGTACACGAAATTTAAAAAAAAATATTTATTGGTTTTCACTTCTATACTCAAAGTACATTTTCGGAATATTATTTTCGGGTCCGCAATGAGGATTATGTTTTTCCGAATCGATGAAACATTCTTCAAAATTGTTAAATGTTTTGTTAGATTCCGATAGAATTTCCAATCTTTCATGATGATAAAATTCCTTTGATGTAAGCAGCCATCGGAAATGTTTCACTTTGGGTATAAACCGTGGTACGTAATCCACGCAATATAGAATTTTAATGGATGGTAGAAAGTTTTGTGATTTAGCCGAGTATTCTGCCAATTCGATGCTTGAGAAGCTACCATTAGAGAAAGCGTAGGGAACTAATAATTTTTCGTTGATTGGAAAAAATGCTCTCCATCCGAACAACAACACGCATGTACTTGACTCTGCCATTTTTCTAATGAGTTAATTTTTGAATTCGATGTCTAGTTTTTTTATTATGTTTTTCGTTCATGCGCACTAGTTGTTTTGTGTTATTTTAATACGCGCATGCGCACTAGTCGTTTTGTGTTATTTTAAATACGCAATGATTTTGGTTTTAAACTTTATTTTTACATCATGTCTCGTAATATATTAATCGTTTTCGCTATTATAACCTGTTTAGAATTATTTTCGTTAACGATTGGTTTTTCAGTTTTATTATGTAGATCGGGTTTTAAGGAAATTGATATAAAAAATACTACTTGCGAATATTCTTTACATTTAGATAGAAATGTTTATTTACATAAATGTATGAATGCTGGAAGAGTTGTATATGATTTTCGAAAATTCACGAGCGAAGGACTACCTCATAAATATATAGGTGTGCAATTATTAAAGAAAGAATTTAACTTACTTTGTACGAAATGCGTTTAAAACATCCGTCGAGTTGTATTGTCGTCGGTCCGTCTCAATCTGGAAAAACTTCTTTAGCTCGAAAAATGCTGCGTGAAAATATCTACGAAAAACCGTTAAAAAGAGTTATGTGGTGTTATTCAATGTTTCAGCCTGGTTCGTGGATGAGAAAAATATTCGTTTTAAATGCGGTATTCCCGAAAACATCGAAAATTTGGATTTAATAATTATAGATGATTTAATGCATTCTTTAACCGAAAAAATTGCCGAATTATTTACCGTTCAATCCCATCATAAAAATATAAGTGTTATATTGATAATGCAAAATTTATTTCCTCGTAATAAAGTAATGAGAGATATAAGTTTAAATACTCATTATTTAATATTATTTAAGAATAACAGAGATGAAAGTCAAATCAACTGTCTCGCTCGTCAAGCGTTTATAGGTAGAACGAAATACTTTAAAGATGCATATTTAACCGCGACATCCAAACCGTACGGTTATTTATTAATCGATTTCCACCCGTCCACGGATAAGGAATTGTGTTTGAGGGATTCGTGTTTTCCCGACAACCAAGGCGTGTATTGGGTTTATATTCCACAAAAATGACGAATATTAAAAAAAATTATCATTTGTTAAATGTGCTTGCAAAGACAACACCCGCTCAGAGAAAGGCTTTGTTAAAAGAAGCTTCCCCCGATCAAATAAAAGTCATATGCGAAATTTGCGACAACACGCTTAAAGGCCGTTTGCCCGTTAATGTGAACAAGTTAAAAAAATATAAAGGATGTATACGGAAACTCGCAAATAAAAAAATAGCTCTCCAAGCAAAAAAGAAGATTTTGGTAAATCAATCTGGAGGATTTTTAGACGCAATTTTAGGTCCAATAATATCATTAGCTAAAAAACTTTTTGGATTCTAATGGCTCAACGAATGGCGCTACTACCACCTGAATTGATACCTAAATATCAATTACAAAAACCGGAAATACGGTTACACGATAATATTCAAGATTTATTAGAAGAAAGTACTTTGACGGATGATTTGAAAGTTAAACTATTAAGTCAATTGATTTCGAGATTTAAACAAACTATCCATGCACCGAAAGAACCGATTCGAGTTTCTTTAACATCGCAACCAACCGAAGAATCTCAACAACAATTGCCCGAACCGACAAAACCATCGTCTATCGAAGATCAGATAACAGTCTCGATACCGCTAGCATATCAAAAGTATGTTCCGCATATCATTCAATTATTAAAATCTTACCAATACGATTGGAACGAAAAAGGAGAATTAGTGGTGAATAACGAACCAATAATAAACACTCACATAGTAGATTTAATGTCCTATCTTATGCGAACGAGAAAATCGACCATTGTACCCCCGGGTTTTGACACCTTTTGGAATGGAATTATCAAAGCGAATATACCCAAAGAATGGATTGGAAATAAAGCATTGTCGACTCGATTAAAAATAGGAGAATCCCCCGTACTTCGTTTTCGATCGCCATCGATTCCATCGCCTCCGATTCGATCG